CATGCCAGTGCCCTCACAAAATTCCCATTGGAGACAAATGTGATGACATTTGGAAGTGCATCTCTGAGAGGTAAGGAGGACGTGAGGGTGGAGCCTCAGGGTAGGATAATGTCATTCGTCAAGATGAAGAGAGGTGGGACTGTCTGCTCTCAACTAGGCAGCATAGTGGGAAGTGGGTTCTCAGTAGACACCAGATTTGCCAGTACCTTGATCGTGGATTCCAAAACTGTAGGAACTCAATGCTTCTTGCTTAAGCACCTAGTAAATGGTAATTTTGTTAAACAGAACCCTCTTGTATGTGCTAGAAAATGGTCTCAATCTCTGTTAATACTTGAGGTAAATTTGCTAAATTTCAAAAAGAAGGAAATTGTTTGATATTGTCCTTTTCTCTGCCCTTCAGATCCCTTAGCAACTCATAAACAAATTGTAATCACTGTCTTAGCTCTACATGTGTTATGCAATGTAATAATACAAGCAGCACCCTCTGTAGGATACTTACACCAGATTATAAGGTCAAAATGTTCTCTCATTGCCATTAACCTTTCAGAAATACATCCTCCTGACCCATCAAGAACTCCATGCATTATTAGACCAGTAAAATTAGTAACAATTAGGATTTCTATTCTAATTTTTCTTAAACTTTGCAGCCCTTTCTTCCCACGCTGTGAAGTAGAATCTTGCATGAAGGAGACGGTGGTCCGATCCTGTTTGGAATTTTGGGACAACAGCGACATCAGTCAGACAAGACCGTCAATTGAATATGATGTGGCCTATTTCATTGTGGAACCATCCACCGGGAGACTCCCATGTCCAACGTTTAGACTCAGCCTTCTGGAACTGTGAGTTACCATGAATGGTCTTGTTCAACATGATGAACTCAGACAGTCTCTTACCCTGTTCGTTCCATTCTAGGCCATGGGTCCCGATGTGGAGTTCTTTGACTGTTCTTCTCAGTCCTATCTTGGCATTAAAATCACCGACAATGATCTTGTAGAAGGTGTGTTCTTCTTTATAGAACTTCTCCAGCTCCATGTAGAACTTCTCAATTTCTCCTTCATCATAATTGGATGTTGGTGTGTAGACAATGAATATAGAAACTGCCGGCAGTGAGTCACATCTATTCAAGTGTAATCGTCCGATTCGGGTTGTTAGGCATTTGAATGAATCAATATATATGGCCAATTTTGTGTTGACGAGGACACCGACACACTGAATCCTCTTTTGTCGCATGTTCTGAGGAACAGTTCTTCCCCAGTGCCCCAGTGTCAAAAACGGTGTGATGTGATTGATGTCTTCTCATCTCAGTCAGACCAATAATGTCATACTTGATCATTCACGCTTGCACCATCAGGTCCTCAATGGATACATCCAATGCCAGCGTATGTGCATTGAAAGTACAGTCATTTTTGTCCATTGTTTTGGCAGCCTAGGTCAGCCCTGAGCTTTTATAAGCCTCTCCTTCCTCATCCTTCTTAACATTGCCATATTGGTGGCTCTTTCAGGGTCAGGATAATGAGACCCATTGTATTTACTGATTTTGGCATATCAAATACATCACGGATAGCTTGCCAGGCTCTGCTGTGTGGGCAGAACACTCTCGGTGGCTTGCCAGGTTCTCCAAGAAAGGTAGAGGCTTTTAGGGCAGCCTCTAATTGCCCTTACAGGTGTTCACATGCTTCAAACCATATTTCAATGCATTCATATATGGTGCCATAATCTTGTATTAAGTGCTTTACCACCAACTGGGAGTTCTTTGGCACTTTTGCAGCAACATTGGAAGATGCCGTCATTGAGAACATTGATGAGGAATACGATTGACTGGTTCAGCACCTCCATGATTGTGTGAGGAACGCTGAGAGAAAGACACACACACAAAAAGACGACTGTCTTCAAAAACTCTCGAGCTCATTCACCAATGTGGCTTGATGCAAGCCTCAGGCAACAACAAGCAAACATACAAGCTCGCAAAGCAGTGCAGAGAAGGGATAAAGGAAGACCTCAAAAAGAGACAGTAGCAGTGCTGGCAGATGCGGCAGAAGCTGGGAAAAGCATTCACAACGCCCACCTGTCCTTCGCCAACTACAAGACCAAGATGATTGCCCACCGACGTCCTGATGGATCTATCATATCTTCCAGAAGGGCAATGGAGAGGATTATCCATGACTTCTACTCGGGTCTCTTTAATAGCCACATCCACCTGCCCACATGCCAAATTCCACAGGATGGATATGTCGTTCCCAACGTTCTCCCTTCCAAAATCCGACATGCCATTTCATCGGTAAAGAAGCAAACAGCACCTGGCCCAGACAAGGTCAGACCCGAACACCTGAAGAACCTGCCGTCAGTACTCGTCAATACACTGGCTCGGCTCTTCACACAGTACCTGTCTGAATGCAAGGTTCCACCCCAATGGAAAACCAGCAGGTCTGTCCTACCATACAAGAAGGGAGACATCCACAACATTGGCAACTATTGCCTGATCTGCCTATTGTCTGTCATCTACAAGCTGTTCACTCGAGTCATCCTGAACAGGATTGGCAGAACACTAGATGAAGGACAACCATGCGAACAAGCCGGGTTCCACAAAGGATTTAGCACAATCGACCATATCCACATGATAACCAAGCTCATTGAGATTTCTCGGGAGTTCAAAATGCCGCTCTTTCTAACAGTCATTGATTTAAAGAAGGCCTTTGATTCTGTTAAGATGGAAGGGGTCATCGAGGCCCTAGCCAAACAGGGCGTTCAATGTCAATACACCAGGATCCTCCATGATCTGTATTGTGGATTCACTACCAGGATCTCACCATTCTACAGGGAGGTGATCATTGACGTCAAGGGAGGGTTTTGGCAGGGTGATACCATTTCACCGAAACTCTTTAGTGCCACCCTCCAGAACATCATGCAATGACAGGAATGGGAAGGAATGGGAGTGAAGATAGACGGTCAGCAACTACATAATTTCTGCTTTGCTGATGACATCATTCTTATAACACCAAACATCAGCCAAGAGGCACAAATGCTGGCCAACTTCGACCATGAGTGTGGAAATGTTGGACTACAGCTGAATCTAACAAAGACAATGTTTATGATAAATGGTCTCGTTCCTGACGTTCCATTCACTCTCAATGGGATGAACATCTCCGAATGCAACAGTTATGTGTACCTAGATTGAGAAGTCAACATGACGAATGACCTGGCACCTGATTTGTGCAGGAGGAAGAGAGTGGCTTGGAACATCTTCAAGAATGTCGAATAAATAGCTAAGAGGACAAAGAACCTCCAGATCCGGGCACATCTCTTTGATTCCACTATTCTTCCTGCCTTAACATATGCCTCAGAGACCTGGGCCCTATGAAAACAGGATGAGAATGTTATTCATGTCTCCCAAAGAGGAATCGAAAGAGCTATGCTTGGAGTATCACACTTCACTTAAATGAGAGAAAGAATCCGGAGTTCTGACCTTCATCAACAATCAAGAATCAGGGACGCTGTCTCGTTTGCCAAGGCATGGAAAATCAGATGGGCTGGACACATAATGCAATTTGGAGATGACCGCTGGACTAGAGCCATTACCAACTGAATTCCACGGGACGTCAAAAGACCGTGTGGCTGCCCACCTATGAGATGGTCAGACTTCTTCGTCAAGACCCTGAACGATCGGTTTGAGGCTCTTTGTGTTCCTAGAACGAGCAGATGCCATTGGGCTACACTCGCACGCAACAGGGATAAATGGAGACATTACTGGCATCTGCTCGAGCAAATCGATGAGTAATGGGATGTCAAGTGATCAAGTGATTCTAATTTGATTTCTATTCTATTTTATTTATTTGTATTCTAATTTAATTTCTATTCTAATCTAGGATTTAGTTCTTCCTTCCCTTTAACCCAGTGCTTCTGAATTATGGAAAACTGGGCTTCTGGAGCACCTTTCACTGACTTGGGACATTTGACTGTCATACTGGTGGTTGATGCTGCTGGCAGTCAGTGGACAGCTGTGAAGTATTGACAGAGCATTAACAGACGGCCCCAATGCAAAGGATGATTTCACCTCAAACATCAGTGGTGTCATGGTTATAAATCCCTTGTTTCAACAAATTACTATTTTCCAAACACTGAAGACACGAAACTTTTACTACAAGGAGAATTTACATCCACAAATCATATTTTATTGTTTGGCCAATGTCACCTTCCATTAATGTCCTGTATTTGGATTAAACTATATAAATGACTTGAAAAATCAATACAGTGCTTTACAAAGGAAAAAATCAACAGTTTGAATGTTCTTGAAGCTTTTAAACAATAAATTGAGTATGGGCAAACAGAAGATAAAAAAATCAGAAATAATTAGCTCATGCATCTGATGCTTACTAATAATTTTCACATGAATATAGGAACCACTTACTGGTAACTATATTTTTCTAAATATCTGGGAACTGTGATAAAATGTGATTTCCAAAATCATCATGGTGACTGAGTAAGCTGCTTAATTTGAAAAAAATTAATTATATTCCCCCATAAATAGGAGTGACTGGGCCTGGAGCAAACTCTTTTGTCCCCCTGGACTCTGGCAGCTGGAGTGATCCTTCATAAAACACAAGTTTCAGTTTCTGAAGTTCTTTTCAATAATGCCAGAAGCCAGGAAGAGCACCCTACTTTGAAAGGAGATTTGGTTCACACAATTGCAATATACTTTGGTTTATTTCTACAGGTGATAAAGGGGTCTTCCCCCCTTCTCCTGAGGAGAAAATATGCTTTCTACCTTCTGAATGATTCAAATTATCACGTCTGAGTGTTTCCTTTTCTGTTAAGGTATCCGTGGTGGTAGGAAATGGGCACTGGTGGAAGGGTGGGTATTTGATCATTGTATAATTGAAACCCAAGCACAAAAATTTGTAAGTCTGCAACTGTACCTCATGATGTCTCACTAATACAAAATTTTTTTAAAAAGTGTATTTCTTCCCCTCCTGTATGCATGCAGTTGCTGCTCCTAAGAAATCCTCTTCAAATGAAGTGTCCCTGTATTTCCTCCTTCCAGAAGCCCTACAAACGTGCCTTCGAGGCAGAAAAGGGGCAAACAAGCAGTATCTAAGAATACCCTAGCATTCAGCATACCCTGCAGTGAGGAATTGATCCAGTGCTTTGAACAGGAAGTTTTCATATTGCATTCAAAAGTGTCTTCTTAAAAATACTAAATGGTTTGCTAATTTGTGCTTTCTTTGCAAGATTGGAAAATTGGTAAATAAGAAGAATATAACTATAAAGCAAAAAAGAGATATGCATTTTGAAATCAATTAACAAAGATACTTAAACTTATAACCAAAAAGGTGAACAGATTGGTTTTGGTTAGTTTTGGAAGGAAATGACACAATAGTTAAGGTTTCTTTTCCCTTTTAAGTCCATTTGGATTTGGCTTACTATACTCTAAAGCATGGTAATGTGAGTATGTTCATATTTTTGTCTCCTTCTGTAGCACTCCCAGACACTACAGTTCTACAGATGTAATCATTCTTCCGGAGAGAAATGTGCCTGCCTTCAAACTGGCCTTAATTCATGAATATTTCAATAAGCATAGAAACAATAGCTCTCACTGCTGTAAACATCACCAAGACCTCCACATGACTAGTCTTATAATATCACAATCCTTCTTCCTTTGTTACATGCCACACGAGGTATATTTGGGCCATGGTGCTTGCTGACACAGTAAGAAATTTTCATTCCTGTTGCATAAAGCCAAATAGCCAGCCCAAAATTGAAGGCTCTCTCTTTTCCTCCCTATTCTCATCAATCATATCCTTTATTGCCCTTTATGGAGATATTTTTCTTGTTTCAGCCACCGATGTGGTAATAATTAAGGGAAAAAACCCAAAATGACTCCCCAAGTCTATTCCTTGGGAATTCATGTTTTCCTGCTGCCCGTCTTCTGTTTCTGTTTGCGAAGGTGGGCCTCTATCTCGTGCCGGAAGACCAGCATGCCCAGCTGCCCGTGAGATGCCTCATTCATGGCCTTAGACTGCATGCACATCTTGTACTGTTCGGGAGTCAGCTCATCCACGCAGCGCTTCTCATGCCACAGATGGAAGAGTCCGCGCACAGGGGTCCGCACCACGATGAGGTTGCTGTGGAGGTACTTACGATAGAGGTGCACATCCTCTCCACCCCAGCCTTTGATGTCCAGGTCAAAGCCACCTGTCAAGAGAGGAGATGAAGGAATCATGCTGTGCAGCAGCTCCTACGCTCCAGGTGCTCTGAATAAAGAATTTTGCGTGAAGAAAGGACATATTCAGAGAAGGTGAGTGTTTCACCACACCTCCAAATTACAAGTGTGTATTTGTGGGCCAAAGAATTTCTAAATAGAGAGAACACCAGGACTCAGCAAGAGGCCGGATCACAGGCTTCAGTGGCTTCCCAGAGCTAAGGAAGGGTCCCTGCAACCATTGCAAGAGCTGTGGCACATCTTAATGTTTCAGTATGAAATCACATTAAGTGCTGTGCTGTTTCTGCTTGAATGTGGCCTCATGCTGCCACTGCACACAGTATAAACAGGGATTGTGCTATAAAGGAAGACACCTTGAAAAAACAATCAAATCTTACAAAAGAACTCTTCTTCTCATAGAGTAGAGTCCTGTAAAACTGTGTCTACTCAGGCTGGTGAAGTGAGTCACGCGAGAGTCCAGCCTCCCCAATGGTTCTGATGTTCTACTGAGAATACCATTTCACTCTATCATGCACTTCTTCACACCATGAGAAATGGTCCCCTAAAGTCTCCCCGTGGTAAACTGAGGTACCTATGTCTTTCTTACCCTAAGCCACTAAATCCCAAAGAGAACCAGTGCAGTGTGGCCTCTGTCACTCTTTAGTCCCAACTATTTTCACTCACAAAGAATATGTAGCTGACTCTTAAAAGACAAATGAAACGATTATAACATCTTTACTTAGAGTTACTGTTTCTCTTTTATCTTGAAAACCCCAAGAAATGTTGCTCTGTTACGAAGTATTACTGGAACAATAAAGGAGTCCATTCACAGTGGAATCTGCAACCATTGGTCCTGGGCTTTTGAAGGGGAGTGAACTGTCCCTCTCATGGTGAGCAATAAAGAAAAGTACAGTTCTGAATTAGGCATCTGAAATTTGAGTCTTGATTCTCTGATAAGTTGATACTTTACCTCCCTGGTTTCCTTACCCTTGAGAGTTAAAGGTGTGATAACCCACTGAGATAGCAATGTAAGGGTTAGCTGCAACTGACTTAGGTATCATTATAGCCTCTTAAACAGAAACTGTGTGATTACAATTTTTAAAAATAATTACAATATTACTAAGGATGACTGGGATCCAAATGTGACACAAAGATTCTATGTCAAAGTCCTGGCTTACTGTGCTTGACTTTCCTTCCAAACCTGCTGGTCCCATATTTGCAGGGTGTGGACATGAGGGTGGGGGGAGCTTTCTGCTGTGCCCAGATTATTCTGAGGCTCATCCCAGAAATTCTGAGCCAATCAGCTCGTGGTTCTATGTGAAGGCCTGAGAATATGTGGTTGCTAGCACCTGCCATGCCAAGGTTTCCGCAGCAGTAGTCAGGGGCCTCCAGGGCTGCATCCAGCTGTGCTATGAAGCCCAGGTTGACTGCCTGCAAGGCATTACTCTCTCCATACTCTTTCTCTGATTTCACTTTTTATTGGTTTTATTTTTTTAATTTACTTTCACTTTCTTTAGGTAACATGTAATGCCAGTTACAGCCATGCCTTGTCTTCAGGAAGATCAACTATACATTCAAGTCTGGTAGACATAAATCATCACAAAGTAACTTGCCCTGTACACATACCAAGGAATCATGGAGTTTTGGGAAATGGGAATTTCCCACAGGAAAATAAAAAAGACCAGTGAGGTCACCTCCACAAGAGACCAAGTGTTCAGGTGCTGAGTTTCAGATCACAGAATCTGGCTACAAGCTGATATCTGTCCCTTTTGTCTGATCGTGTACATGAGTGTGCTAGAGCCCCTGAAGTCCTCACCCCAGAACAAAAACCTGGGGCTACTCACATCTATGGGGTGACCTTAAAAGGAAAAGCTTCGACCTTCCAGAGGGAAATGGACGGGAGAGGATAGGTGTGTGTGTGTGTGTGGTGGGGGCACCACAGGGCTGTAGTATCAGGACTCCCAGCTACTTTCTGGAACCCCTGAGCCCAACAGCAAGGTTTTTGGCTTTAACTGGTCCATTTCATCTCATCCTACTCCTTTCCACTTCACTGTGGCCAGGGGTATGCCATGACCTGGGCAGTGGAGCTGGGTGGGTGAAGGACCCAGCTGCTGTCACCCTGATGATGCCACTCATTGATCAAGTGCCCCCTTTGCCTCTGAGAACCCTGGTCCCTTCCTCCAACACCTTAGCCTGTGTCCTGTGCTAAGAACATGTGTTTGATAATTATAGCAACCTACAGAGTGGGAAGAAACACCTGAAAAAGTTCAGCAGAAAGGAATTTAAACGCTTAATTGTATAACATTTACCCAAATTCCCAATGTTTTTACTTTTTTGGTGGTTGTGATGGCTATTAGGACACAAGTAGAAGTCTGGGGTATTTAATGGGTGCACTACAAAGGTAGTTCTGGGTCCTGCACCACAGTTGCACATGATTAGGGCAACTGAGAGGAGCTGTGAGAGTCGTGCTGGTGTGTTGCCCACTCCTGAATACATCACAGAGGAACAGCTTTTCTCAGGAAAAAGCCCCACTCTGTCTCCCAGAGCCACCGGGAGCTGAGGGACCGCCTTCGGGGCCACTGAGGCCGGTGGCCTCTGGGTGGCAGCAGAGACACATTCGCTGCGGGTCCCTCTTACCTATATTGATGAAGTCTGAGCGGTACTGACATGTCATCCCAAATCCAAAGTCTCTCCAGAATCCAGTCTCCTTCTTTATGACCTGCAGGAAAAGGGAAGCTCTGTGAGCTGAGAAGGACAGGGTGGGAGAAAGAGCACCCGCAGCCTCCCCACACGCGTTCCCTTGGAGACCCACAGTGCCTGCCTGCGCGGGCCAGCAGCTGCACTGAGCCCTCAGTGACCAAGGCTGTGATCCCCGAGTCCCCAGGGGGGCTGTGTGGTTCTTGGCACCTCAGGCTGGAACGTTTCTAGGGTGTGGACCTGAAAGTACACACCGACGTGTGTTGTGCACGCACGCGCGCACACCCCCCCAGAGGTTTTGGAGCAGCACCATGGAAAAGCCTCCTACGTGTCTGGCCCAGTACCAGTGACAGGGAAAATGTGAGGCCTCGCCCCTCACCCAGGCTGGGCAGGGAGCCGGCAAAGGGCTCAGGAAGTTGAGTGACGTGACGGGAAGGAGAACAACGCAGAACACAGCGGCCCTGGCAGAGGACACAGAGAGAATTCCCTCAGGGAACAAAATCAAAACCCCAAATTGTCACTACAGCCCACTAACTCTCCCCCGCCGAGGAAGGGGCTGCGAGTGCAGGTTCTGAAGGAAGACTCTGTCCATTCATCTTCATTGGAAAGCCAAACTGCTACCCAAAGCTTTTGCGGCCCTGCCAGCTACCGGGCTCCAAAAGGCCATCCAAGCAAGACGCAAGGAAGCCAGCTTGGCCCTGCTCTGCTTCTTCCTTTGCAAGTAAATTTCCGATGTATTTGATGAAGTGGCAAAACTTTTTTTGTAAAAATCTGTTTATATATTTTTGCTGAGGTATTTCTGGGAATGACTCTTGAAGTGTCACTGTTGTTTGTCATAGTTCATTCTTATTGTTCACAAAGGTGCTCTGACTGAAGGAAGGCCTCCTGGGGAAGAGGAGAGTTAGAACGTCCAGTTTGACCATGTCTGACATTTTCTGCTGGAATCTGGCTTTTATCACTGCTAGAAACAGGCAGGGAAGGAGGAAAACCCACATCTGGTTGCAACTTGACCATGAGTGGGCAGCTTTTTCATGACAGAGACCTCTGCTCCTGGAATTTCATTTCCTGTTCCGTACATGAGGAGGATGAGCTAAATCAGTCAATGGTCCAGTGCAGCTTGGCCCTCCCCAAACATTGATCCTCTCACCACTATTCCACTTTCTCGAAGCTTCACTTGATCTCCACCCCAGGCAAAATTGCAAACGGTTGATGAATTTAAAATTGTTGTACTCTGCAACCTTATTTTCACAGCAGGCTACACATGGACACTGCTGCAGATGTGGCATGCATGTGGACACTGCTGAAGATGCAGCATGCACCTGCAGCATGCATGTGGACACTGCTGCAGATGCGGCATGCACCTGGAAATTGCTGCACCTGCAGCATGCGCCTGCAGCGTGCATGTAGCTTTCTGAGGACAGTGGAACTGGAGTAGGGTAGTCATCCCAGCAGATGTATTTCTATTCTGCCTGAGAACAAAGGCTTGTTATACAATATCTCCCAAGTGACAAGGCAATTTCATTAGTATCAATGGAAAAATGGTACAGAGCAATAAAATCTGAAAAATATCTATTGAGTTATTGTCTTAAAATGGTTTATGTTCCATTCCAGTCATACCAAATGTACTGTTTTTGTGGCAGCAAATAACTTAATATCTCTTCCACCTCTACCAGCCAGATCCAGACAAATCCCCAAGGCTACTGGGTAGAGTCACAGATCGGTACTAGTATCCAACCTTCAAACCTATGGTCAAGGTCTCCATGAAATTAAAAGAGAAAGTTTCCAAAAGGAAAATTTAGAGACCAGGTTGGAAAAGGAAAAAGGGGTCAAAGGCAGCCATCCTGAGTCCTGTGATGAATGTAACAGGGCCTTGTAAAACTGAACCAGCAATTGAGTGACCCTTACCTGGAGGCAGGTCAGTTGATGCTATATGCTATATGCTGGAAATATGCTATAGAAATACTTTTTAATGCCATGTTTCACGGTAAACCCTGCAAAATAACTATTTGCAGACACTGCTGAAATGTAGCTGCTTTTAGAAGCTGATGTGGTTGTGCCCACAGCATAGTGTCAGGATGAAGTGACCTGCATTCATCAGAGTCACTCCCCATAGCCTAGCCTGGTCCATAACTGAAGTGATGCTCTTCACTGCAGTCTTGCTGGACTGGGTGTTGTCAGTGACAGTACTGCACTGTTCCCACATGAAATTTCAGTGGTCTTGGTCGCATTTTCTCTAGTGCATCAGCATAGCATCCATGAGACTGTTGTACTTCAAACTTGGTCATCTCACTTTGTGGTGTTGATGTGTTGATATTATGAGCGAATATTTCTCTAAGTGGGAGTTCATGGAGGAATAGTTCCAGAGAGGATTTGGGCCATGCTGCTGTGCCACATGCACCAGGACTGCACATGTCTTCCCAACTTCGTGTTCAGTGACATCATACTGATGCTTACAGTGGGCTGCCAAGGGAGCACTGACACCATGGAAATGGGAAATGCCGTATGTCAAGGTGACAGCTTCTGCCTGCCTGGGTCATCAACATTTAGGAGCATACCAATGACTTATGCCCACAAAGTCTTATCTTTTTAAAATGAAGTTAATCTGTGTTTTGGAAATGTCTCTGTGGCAGAGGAAGAAAGGGCTAGAATACAGGGAAGGAAAGAAGTTTAAGATAGACGTGTTATTTTGGCAAGAATTAACAAAGCTTGAGTCAGGAGAGTGGAATGTTTAAACTTATTTTCTCTTTTAGTTTCATGGAGACCTTGGCCATAAGTTTGAAGGTTGGATACTAGTACTGCTCTTTGACTCTACTTACCCAGTACTTTTCAGATATTTGTTTCCACATTGCGTTTAAATTCAAAGATTTAAATCTTAATAAAATATCATGATTTCATCTTTACTTATTGACAATGGTCTATATTACAAAATAAAGAGCAAATAAGTTATCTGAATCTCAAGAAACTAATGAATTTCATTTTTTCCTACTGTCTATATAGAAAATTATATCCTATGACAGTTGTAATAGAAGTAATTACAGACACCTGACTAATGACATCATATTTATAGGACTTGGGAAATGTGGTGTTTTGATTAAAAATACTTTAGGTTCTTGTTGCAACTACATTATACCTCTGTGTTCTCTATTCCCCTCTGATATTGATGCTTCCAAGGAAGGCAGGTAAGAATTTGTTTATATAGATACATCATAAGATTTGATAGGAAATATTTCTTAATATATCAATATCCAATAACTACATTTTATTTTTATATTTTCTTAGTGTTTCCTTCATGTTCCTAGAATGAACAGACGCCATTGGGCTACACTAGCATGCGACAGGAACAAAAGGAGACGTTACTGGCACCCACTTGAGCAAATTGACGATTAACGGGAAGTCAACTGATCAAGTGATCAAGTGTTTACATGTTCTATCTCAAATATATTCACTTCTAAAGGTTGATATTTTCCTTTGAGGTTTTTGTTAGGTAACTTTCTTAATGAGTGTATTTCAACACTCATCTAAATCTCTTTTCATTGCACCAAAGTAAGAAAATCCTGGTTTGGGCTTGAGCTCTGCTGAAAGCCAACTGTGTGGACTTGGACAAGTCCAAAAAAAGAGAAGAAAGCAAGTGAAATGATCTAGGGATCTCTTTCGGGTATATAAAAAAAACTCATATTGGGACTTGCAAAGTACTTCCTTATAGATCAAGCTCTCTCAAGTGTCCTGGTGCTTCTCTACTCCTACCCACTCTGATTCTCTACAGTTAGCAACTCTTCAAACACTACCTCATCCAAGGAAGAAAGTAATCAATATTTTTCATTTTTGAATGGAGAGTCCTTCCTCTGGTAGAAAACTGCTATATTTCTCTGAACTAAATAGCAATACTGAACTCTCAAGCACCAGGCTCTAGGGAAGGCCTATATGTCTTTGGAAGTTTATGTCAAAGGCTTCAGAGTAATTCAGAGCTGTGCTCACATTTGAGTTTTCTGTCTCTGAATGAAATACTCAGTCTTAGCTCTCTGTACTGGATCCACTAAACCATACTTTCCTAAGGTATGGTTTCCTAAAGTGATACAAGTCTAAAATTGTTAAAATAAAATAATTTCTTAGAAGCAAATCAGGTCTTAACGATTTTGAAATAGAAGCATTAGTTGTGTTTTTTGTCAAATATAAAGTAGTGCTGTATTTAAAACCAAAGATACTTTCTGCTCTGATCTAGTGGAAGAAAATAAAGCCTGTATCCTGATTTCCCCTCAATCATTCTTAGAAGGTCAGGATTTAAAGAAAGGAAAAAAGAAGTTTTTCTCTCTCAAAGTTTGTCTCTAACCAGATAAAAGTTGGTTCTTGAGGAGTAAAAACTCTATACTTATGTATACAACATATCTCTGGTATCATGGGGGGCGTGTGTGAAGAAGAACTATATTATTAAAACTAAGTTTGAATTGTCTGGCTTGGTCTCAAAGTGAAACCACGCTGAAACAAGGTTAGGAATTAATCTTGTCCAACCAAAGGAACCCAAAGGTGAAACTAATATCATTACATCAGCTGCCAGCAGTTAATTGCTCTTCTCTCACAGGATGGCACAAAAGGAACAGGTTTTGCTACTTCTAGAAACTTAAACACAGAATCAGTCCTCCAAAAAAATTTTACAGAACACATTTTCAGTGAAAATTAGCTTGCTCTCTTGGATATTGTACTTTATAAAAAATATATGTCAAATCTATAAATATATGTACATATATATGCACACACATACACACATACCCTCTTTGTCCAAAGTTCCTGTTTCAAATTATTGGCATTTTAGCTATAAGAGCAATAGAAATGTCTTTGTTAGAATATTTGCTCTCTTGTCCTCAGTGCTGGAAAATGTTCAGAGTCATAAAGGTGTTATGTTATTTATAGCCTTCCCATTACCACTACAAGGCCAGAATAATGCAGTAAGTCTTCACTTTTGGAAAGACATAAAGATGGGAATTGGTTGCCAAGGAAACCAAGAATGAATAGAAGGGTAGAATTTTCAGTCCAAAACCAAATTTCTGGATATAGGAGAAGGGATAGACGCTTAATCAATAATCAGTGATCAATGATTTAATCAACCCTCAACAATGTTTGAAGAACTTCCAGGGTGGGCATCCAGAACCTTTCCTTGAGCCACCTCAGGGAGCCCCAAACAGCCTGAGAACAGAAACTGCTCTATTTGAGGCTGTATTCTATGTTTTTTTATCTGGCTACTGTATTGTATATTCTAATTCTCTTTATAATCAACTGGTAATCTCATTAAGAGTTTTTCTGAATTCCATGAGCTGCTCAAGCGCAGAAAAGGGGAGGGAGCATTATGGGAACTTCTGATTTATGGCCAGTTTTTCAAAATAATAAATAAGGACCTGGACTTGCAATTGGCATCCTGAGTTTGAGAAAGTTGTGGAAATCTCTAATCTATTCTGAGCCAATTCTGGGTCAGAATCATAGGGACAACTATGGACTGAGGTCTTAGTCTATGGAATCTGGTGCTACCTCTGGGTAGAAAGAATCAGAACTGAGTTAAAAATGTAAGACACACAGTTGAGTCTGAAGAGTTATTGGAGGTAGAAAAAAATCTGGATAACAAACAGAATTAGATGAGAAAATCCCAAAGAATCTCCCTAAATAATAAAGAAGCAAGAGAGACTCTCACATCTTTCTCTTCCTTTTCTTATTCTAAGAAGTAGTCAGTGCGAAGAAATATAATGTTTTAATTATAAATTAAGCGGACTAGATTAACAATAGATACTAAATAGAGTAATTATGTTATATACCATAATATAAGTTATGTGAATGTGGTCTCTGTGTCAAAATTTCTTATTGTCCGTAACATTTTCCAGATTATGGTTGACCACAGGTAACTACAATTCAAAAAGCAGAGACTCCTGTAATACTTGTTTCAAGAAAAGAGAAGAAAACCATGAAGGTGTGAAATTACCTTTCTGTAAGGCACCATTCCTATTTATTTTCCCCTTTAAAATATTACAAGCACTTCTAATAAACAAGGTGCTGGGAGCAAAAGCCATCACATCTGCCAAACTTAAAAATTACTATGGGAATCAATTCCATGATTGCCACTCACCTTTGCTCATGGTCAAGTGCCCCTGATAATGAAAGACATGAAACAGTGTCACACAAAGGCACCTATGGGATAATTACTCACCAGCTGCTGTTCTAAGGGAGGGACTGCATCGTGATGGCCATATATTATAGCTGGGTTGTATTGACTGAAAAGGACTGGATAAAATACCTTCTTCCCTGTAAACAATAAAAGAAAGTTACACTTAAAGCAACACATACAGTAATTAAATTTGGTCATTTATATCTAATTTTCTGGAGCATCTCAGATAGCTCAACACATAGATTTTTTTTCTTCACTCAACTCTAAAGAGATGTTTAAAAAAAGCTTTATCAGGTAGACCAGATGGACACAGAATAATTCTGGCTTCCTGGTACAGAAGTGATATGCCAAATACTGGTCTTCAGTCATTCTGAACATCAACCAACAGGAGCGGTTGTGCAGAGAATCCTAGAACCCAAGCTGGAGTCCTTCAATAATGACTCAGGGTATTGTCTGAAGGACTGCCAAAGAAAGACCGGGCAGTAGGAGTAGCAGGCGCAAGTCCAGGAACTGCTCTTGACCAAATTACATAGCAAACTTTCAGTGTATCAATGGCTGACAGGGCCATTCCCATAGTTATCAGTGGATTATCAGCACTATCATATAAATCAAATTCTTTGAAAATCATTTTCATGTTGTGACTATCTTATGCTCACAGCATTTTCTCTCTTGGTAATTTCCCATGGCTGTTTTTCCTTTACTTTAAGACAACTCTTACAGGTCCTTTTTTCCCAGCTGCACTTCTGGGAATGTTGACCAAAGGTGACTTCTGAGTTGAAAATGGAAAAGAGTAATTCTTTTATAATAAAATCAGAAACTCAATTCCTCTTATAGGATGCACAAATTTAGGATAGAATCCAAAACTATGGTGGGACTCATACTTCAATACCAAAGTAAGAAACAGAACAAATAATTTTTCTGTTCGTTGTCACCAGAAGTATGTAAAATAAGGCAGTTTCAGAAGGACAAAAAAGTGAAGTGGGAGAGAAAGCTGGTGCCAGAGTGTGGACCAGCTGAATTGCACCCTGCAGGAGAGAAGGATAATCAACCCCATACTCCACACCTGGCTGTGTGTTCAGCCTGCAAGTGTTGAGGAATTCAGAAGTGAAGTAGATGTCCACGTCACAAAAAAAGAGGAGGACATTGCTTCCCTTCCAGAAGCGGGCTCCAACATCAAGTCCCTTTCCCCGAGAAAATTCTCCATTCAGCTGGATGAAGGTAAAGTTCCTGAAGTTGGCAGCTCTAAAAGGGAAGATTAGACATAGTCAATTTTACACCAGGTTTGTGAGAGTGACAGAGTTCTCTGGAAATACATTATCAAGATCCATACACTCCTTGCCACATTTCTACTCTCCTTAAGGAGACGACATGACCCTAAAAAGTTTCAGAATGACCTAGAACCATGAGAAATTCAAGGAAATTAAGGATGTGAAAAGCACCAAGTAAGTTTTAATACCAATGATTTCTCTAGAAAATTCCATGTTGATGACTGTACTGATTATACTGAATATAAGATTATTCTTTGTAATAAGAATACTTGAACCAGTGAAAAGAATTCATAAAAGTTTCTGTGTCTTCATCCCTCTTCCCCAGGAACACTCAGAATGCAAGTGCCAGATAAAGAAAATAAGTCACCTTGAAAGGGCCTTCCCTAGCATATTTTCCTCCAAGTTCAACTGAGTTCAGGAATGGTACTTCTGATATGAGCCTACCCAATATATTTAGACCTGGACTTCCTTTCCACTTAGTAGGGAGAAAGCCAACCTTGGATTCAGGAACCTGTCCCAGACCAAATTCTCCCTGAGTTAACTCTCTGGTCTTGAAGTTCACCTCCCGAGATTTCTTGAGACCTCAGTTGCATCATCTGAAAATTAGGAAATAATAGTATCTTCCTGAACTATCTCTCACTTATTAGATAAAAAAATTACAAGAGTATCAAGTACTATTTAAATATAAGATTCTCTGTTATTACATAGGTGAGGATTCCACAAAGTATGAGTGAACTCAAGATACTTTTTTGTTTAGTTGCTCTTTCACAGGAACAGTATAACATTATAAAATGGAACATATTCTTAGCAAAATTTTTAAGAATGACTTATTACCTAAACAAGGATCCTTCTATTAGACATAATACTTTCATTCTATTCTTCTTTACTCTTGATATATTCAAAACAAGTACCGTTAAACACCTCTTTCTGGCCTTAAGGTTTGTATTCTAAGTAACTATGTTGGGTCATTACTAAACTACACTTGTGTCTGACAATTTTGTTCTTCTACCCTTTCTCCAATACTTTACCTTTGTTCAGCTCTTGAAGTAAGCTTGAATTTTTTTTTAATCATGGTGATCTGTTTGTCCTTGTCTGAGTCTTAGGGAAGATTCAGACTGTGATGAGAGTAAGAACCCTGGGTTTGGAAGATAATGGTGTATGAGTCATATACCTGGTGCCAGGGTCAAGAACAATACCTGGTCCTACTAAGTGCACACAGATATTTGTCTTATTATTTTAATCCTAGCTATATCCCTAACCTATTTGGAACAAGTCACTATTTAACTTTGGTCCCAAATTCGTCATTATAAAACTTATGATTAAGAAAGAAGCCAAAGACCCATTTACATTATTTAGAATCAATGTTCATTATTATGCCTTCAGTTCATCACTGCTCTATACTTTGAAGTGGTCTCATCCTCTATCAGAACTTTACTATGATTCTTTGTCCAGAATGGGCGGGGCCTGTTCCTGCTTTCAGTGAGCAGCAGTGTGACAATGTTCCATTGTCTCTTTAGGACTTGGTCTGGTCCTCCTAAAACAGTGCAGTTTCTACCCATTCTCCAGAAGTGCTCAGGTGTGACGAAGTTCTTATAGCCAAGTTCATAGATCCTGGGTGGGAGGGGTGTCATAGGTCTGTTTCTTGAAGTCTAGTTAAATTAATCATCTGTATCCCATATAGTCTATTTTCAGAGGTTTAAAGTTGGAAAATGCTTAGAATTCTGTCTGTTCACCTATGGGAGTCTCCAGCCAGGCAATATAGAATGTGCCCAGTACCCTAGAATCTTTTTTTTTTGTCTCCAGGCTCATTTGCCCAGTCTATAGATTACAGAGATCTCTATCAACAAATTTTCAGAGCCAGGAGAATAGAAATGCCTAAACACAGAGAATGAGCATACCCTTCCTCATCCCTCATCCAGGTTGTCTTATTATAATTAATATACATATTAAAAGAGGTTTCCCAGTATCACTCAACAGAAAGTTAAAAATATGGAAATGTATTTGAATGCTATTTAGCAGTTTTCACTAAGAAAAGAGGAATGCAGTTCCTGAACATGCTGCATTACAGGAACTGCTAATTATCTATTTGAATGGATTACTATCCATCTGTGACAATATATCAACTGTTTACAAAAGTCAAACCACAGTCAGTACTGAAATAATCAGCCAGCAAGACCTCACTAGAAAGTGAAATGATATCATAAAAGATATGACAAGGTTTTAGGTGATTAGTGGTTGGGTAATAAAAGACAGTAGAAAGCTATAAATTTAGGATGAAGAGTAGCAATCTGACTATACAGATGGTCCCCAGATTTAAAAGATTGCCTTAGAATTATGTGAGACTTGACAAAGGTGTGAAAGCAATACATCGTGAAACCTACACTTTGAGTTAACATTCTGTTCTTTTGGGGGGATAGTGATCTATGGTTCAGTACTCTCTCAGATGATGGCAGGCACCATTGCTCTCACAGCCACATGGTCACCAGGAAATCAAACTGTCCCACAGAGCATAGTTTGGAGGTGATTTGCAGATACTGTGTTTTCCTCTATCTACAAACACCCATTCGAATGTAAGATCTTTAACATTTCTTTATGAAACAGACTTGGGTGAGATGACTCTGCCTAGCTGTGTTCTATGCATGTTTCAGGTAAAGAAGCACTAAACTCATGTTCTCAAAATCTTAGGTGTCTAAAATGCATTTTTAAATACTTAACTCATCATATTTTTAACTTCTGACAATGTGTTAGCACTGCAACCCACCCTAAGTCTAGGATAACATACACTTATCCAATGTATGTTACTCTAGTTTGTTTTGTTCAAAACGTTTTATTAGCCATGGTTTGAGATGTTGCTAATAAACATTGCATAGCAAGCTGGGGGGGGTGGCTGGGGTTCTGTGAATTTATCTGTCAGTCAGATTCATAGGAAAAGAGTAGAAGTCATTGTACCTGGTGCTGCTGCTTACCCTTATTTGGAACAACTTTTAAAAAGTTTAAGACCTCAGCCCCAGTGCCTCGATGTGTTGCTGCTAGATAATAAAACTCAGGGACATGAATAGTGGGGACGCTCTATATGGCTTAATGCAAACAGCAATGTGCTTCCTTTTCTCCACAAGGAGGAAACAATCCATATTACATCTGTGATGTCACTTCCCAAACTGAATATGCATCTCAAACCCACTCTCTGGCATGCCTGAAGGCTGAATACAAAGATGTAGTATGTGCTTCAGCATCATGGGGGCAGAGGGGGGAGCAAGGTACATAATGCACATGCAGCACAAGAAATCTCTTCTAGCAGAAGGAGCTCATCAACAAGGGTATATACTAACAAAGAGGACTGTGCTAGGAACACCAGAAGTGATCAGATCAGCTGACTTCTCTACTTTTCTAGAACAGAGATTTCTATTTCGTCAAACATCTTAGCCTGGAAGAAGAATGTCTGCCCCATCTAAAATTTGTGAACCCTGATCTAGAACCCTGGAGGCAAGATGATGAAGTTGCCTTGGAGTCCGGCTTCTTCCCTCAACATACCTTAACTCTTCACTGAAATGTTCTTCCTCCTTTGGGCAGGGGGCTCACTAAGTCAGAGAAGTCTCCACTCAACAGCATGTACAGCTGTAGGGAAGGGCTGCAAGGCCTTGTAAAAGCAAGAATGCATTTCAGTGCATAACACAGATTTGCCCCTATTGAAGCCCGACATGTGGATGATTGGGGATATGTGCAACATGAGCATAAGGCTACAGCCCCCAAATGCATACCTCAGACATGCCCAATCAGGTCCTTTGCTCTCTGTCCATCCTTTTCTAGTAGAGAGCAGTCAGATTGTGGTCATTGATGGTGTGGTGTAGTTGGCTCCCTGACTGCTCAGTGTGCCTTCCAAACAGGCATTCTCCTGACCAAAGACTCCTCTCCATCGCATGGTGCAAGGTACAGTTTCACACCTCACTGCAAACTGAGTCTTCTCTGTGGCCTCTAAGGATCTTTTTTTTTTTTAACCATTCTTGCCTCTGTCTTTTGTCTAGTACTGTGTCCTGATATTTTATTGCAGCTGTTAATCTAGAAATACGTTCCATGACCTCACAAGTTCTTCCTCTGTGGAGGACAGGGATGTCCCCTAGAGATCATTTGAAATTGTGGAGTAAGTGGCACATAGAAAGATGGTAAGCAACCAAGACACACTGGATTTACTAAGAGATGGGACAATGGAAAACTCTGCAATGCACCTCCTGTCTCCCACTGTTGGAAAGCCCTGAGATGCCTTCCTCATCAGGGTGGATATTAAAGAAACTTCCATCCCCTAAATCCACTTACCACATCAAAAAAGAAGCTCCAACAAATGATTGCTAAGGAAAGACATAAATTCAAGCTTTTAAGAATATGACAAATAGGTAAATAACAACAGAAAATAGCTGAGGAAAGTAAGAGGAAATTTTTTTGAAATGTTTAATTTATACAAAGCAATTCAATATTTAGTGAGTTAATATGAAATAACATTTTTCTTGCTAGATCATGGGCACTGTAGCCCATTCTCTGCAATTTCCTACAATGAATTTCAAAAAGCCAAATTATTAGTGCTAATTATTTCTTCTTCTTCAATTATATTAGTAACTAAGGAAACTCTTTATATAATAAGTATGATGCATGGACTTCCTTAAAGTACAAGTCATTCTGACAGCAGTTAGAATGACCTGAGAAAGCTACTATATACAAAGATTTAATTTTTTTAATTAATTTGCATTTCCCAGACATACTGGATTAGAGATGATAAAATATCATGCTCTCTAATGTGATATATTCAGAGACTTCTCATTATTGCAAGAAAATTCTCTTAATGTGACAAGTTCCACAATAACCTTTCAAAAAATTTAAATATATAGAAACCAGTCAGCATTACTTAAATGTATAATTATAACTTTTAATTGAATGAAATCATTAGGGTTCTACTTACTTGAGACATTTGAATACTTTAAATAA